AGAGCGGGACCCTACCCAGAAAAACAGAGATGCCTGAGATGGAGACAGAGAAGATAACGTGGAGTGATGAAGTGGCTGGGGACTTTGGATCCAGAGAGGAAAAGGGACTGTGGGCCGAAAACTGTGTGTGTGTGTGTGGGTATATCTAGGATATACCCTTTGGTTGGTGCATGATGCATAGAGGGGATTGGAACCACGGCAATGAGATGATATATGATGGAATGAATGTAAAACTAAAGTTCTCTCATGTAAACTATCATATAATTTACAATAAAACATTAAAAATAAAAATTTTATAACCTAAAAATTCTTGATAGGCAACCTAAAAAGATAAAAACATCAAGTAGTAAAATAATAAGTGAGAAATTAATAACTTCTTTTTGCTAATATATTCATCTAAAATAATTTTCTATAGAAGCTTGTAGGAAAATGTTTACATACACATATACTTACTATTTAATTTATATAGTTAGTATATTCATTTTTCAAAGTAAAGAAGTGGTCAAGTGAGCTTTTACTACCTTGAGTTACATGAAAATAGTAGATTCATTATGTCACAATAAAACATTGCAATACAAAGGAATGCCAGTGTAGCAAAGTAACAAAAGTAAGGGCTTTGACATCAGACAGACTTGGGTTTTGAATGCCAGTTCTGCTGTTCCCTAATTTATGATCTTTGTTGTTGTTAAGTGCCGTAGAGTCGGTTCCGACCCATAGCGACCCTATACAGGGTTTCCGAGGCTGTAAATCTTTACGGGAGCAGAACGCCTCATCTTTCTCCCGCGGAGCCGCTGGTAGTTTCGAACTGTTGGCCTTAAGGTTCGCAGCCCGATTCATAACCACTACGCTACCAGAGCTCCTAATGTATGACCTTAGCCAACTTTAAAAAATTTTAGTCAAAACATTACATGTAAATTGTTTATTACTAAAATATTTTTCAGCATAAAACAGCAGTTACATATTCTACTCTAGATTCAACTGTTTTAGGTACTTACTTCCAACCAGCTCAATAATTTGCTTATACTACTATTTAGTGATTTATCAATTTAGGTCATGAAGAAGAGAAGAAAGAAAGTAGGAAAATACCCACATGGATATCAGAAGAGACTCTGAAACTTGCTCACTAGAGTAGAGATTCAAAAATCAAACAGAAGAAATGAGGAGGTAAAAGAGTTGAACAGAAAATTTCAAAGGATAGTTCTAGAAGACAAAGTGAAAGATTATATTGAAATGTGTAAATATATGGAGTTGGAAAACCAACAAGAAAGGACATGCTCTGCATTTCTCAAGTCAAAAGAACTGAAAAGAAATTCAAGTCTCCATTTGCAATATTGAAGGATTCTATGGGCAAAGTCCACCACTCATCTGTCAGTTTGCTGTACTGTGATGGCTTGCATGTTGCTGTGATTCTGGAAGCTATGTCACAGGTAGTTTAAATACCAACAAGGTCACCCACGATGGACAGGTTTCAGATTGAGTTTCCAGACTAAGACAGACTAGGAAGAAGGAAAGATGGACTACTTTCAATTATTGAGTCACTGAAAACCTTATAAGTAGCAGTGGAACACTGCCACATAGCACCAGAAATTGAATACTGAAATATGATTAAGAGGACCAAAATACTGTCAGATATAATGTAGGAAAATAAGTCCCTCAGGTTGGAAGGAACTCAAAATACTGTAAAGTTGATTGTGATGACGTGAATGGAGTAAAGCTTTCAGGACCTTCATTTGCTGACGGAGCACAACTCAAAATGAGGAGAAACAGCTATAAGCATCCATTAATAATCAGCAGATGGAATGTATGAAGTTTGAATCTAGGAAAATTGGAAGTTGTAAAAAAATGAAATGGAATGCAAAAACAACAATATTCTAGGCATTGGTGAGCTGAAATGGACTGGTATTGGTCATTCTGACTCTGATGACCACATGGTTTACTATGCCGGGAATGACAAATGGAAGAGGAAAAGTATC